TGCCACTAGGTGATGTATTTGGAAATAGTCAAGAGGTGGTAAACACAAAACTAACAATAGTGAACAAGGCAAGAAGTAAATGAAGTGAATAAGTCTTAATGATTTTGGTGTCACTTACACGCCCTTATTTTTATAGAACCCTTAATCTTTTCTTTACCAAGTTAACATTGCTTCAAGTATTACCATTCAGCTGACCTTTCAACTTATTGTTTAACTTAATGTTAATAAATAACTTTTCATACAAATCTTAATTGAATCTGAAAATCATTATTTTCTGGTCATTGAAGTTATTAAATATTCATGATTTATTGAAAAAGAACTATTTGACATGTTTATATATCACTAGTTTGACGTTGAATTAGAAAACAGTTATTGAAAATGACGATGGTAAAATGTAAACGACATTCGGTTACACGAGCTGTGCGGTCCCGATGTTCCGACGATTTTCACTTCTCAATTGAGGATTATCCAAAGAGATTGATATAATAAAATAGTGTTAAATTCAGACGTATTCTGTTCTAAAACACGTTTGATGGAAAATAAATAAACCAAACATGTTCTGGTAGGTTTTCGGTTGCTTTGGAAGCCAATTAAATTGATGATATAAACATAAAAAGGTCGTATCATTACAATTTGGTTGTAAAGCAAGAGTAGAGGTCCATATTTTAATTTCTTCTTAGCAATGCTGACATCTATATACTAGATAGTGTATCGGGTGGTCGTGATATAGCTTTTGAATAGGACTATTTTTGTAAAGTTTGACATGTCATTGAACATTGAAGTGTTCACCTTGATGCCCAGATTATCAAATTATCGATTAACTTGGCCATTCGGCGTCCATGTCGGTCAAAATATCATAATGTCATTGGGGAGATTAGAATATAGTTTACTTTATATTAATAGTTAATAAGTTTATAACAAAGACCTGTTTTATTCTAACATGTTCAGATTGGCTGTATACGGGTTATTGTACTCTATTATTAAAGAATATCGACTGAAAGCGGGATTGAAACAAACAGATTAAAGATGGAAAATGTTTATAGAAGTCCAATGATGAGATGTCAATATATAAATGAATTGAATTGAACAATGGAATAATAATTGTCATATGTTTATGTTCACCAGTCATTTTAATGCAATCTAAACATCTCCATATTGACTTTCCTTTATTAACAATCTGAAAGGAACCACCGCCATTTTTGTGACCGCCGCCATTATAATTTTGAAATAAATTTTCGAAAATGAAGTGAAATGAGGCAGAAAATTAGAATTTGTGTAAATATGTACGCGTAAATATGAAATGATATGAAATAGAGTTTTAGTGAAGGTCTTTGTAGACATATTTCAGGATTAGAACACTATGTTAGTGAACCAGCTCCAAACTCCAAACTCCAAGTCATGTCCTACGACTGTGGTGTATGAATTGTATTTTTTTTAATTATTTCACGAAAGTTCTAAACGACATTTTCAGTCGTGTGTCATTGTCGTAAAATGTTTTTGTCTATGAGTATGAAGTGTAAGGTTTGATTAACTAAAATTTAAATACACTTCTCTCCCGGAAATAACAAGGATACGTAACACACCCCACCCTCGTGTAAGTTAGCCTTTCCAGCTAATAATTGTTCATTGGTAAGCATTTTCCAATGCAACTGAAACTTGGCAGGAAAATTAACATGCGCCCGTAGCAAAAGTTAAAGATAGCATACCTGGAAAGGTAACATACGCTCACAGATAAAAAATCAAAAATAATAGTCTATAATGACTAAACTACAAAACATTGTAAATAAACTTTGTAACTTAAATGCACTTAATTTTAGCAAACTTCCCTCCCGAAAATAAAATATTGACAGCACAGCAATCGACATAATCATATCATGCATGGCCCTCAGAAGCTCGCATGTGTCGACCTATTTTCAAGATCTAATTGTCTGTGTTATCAATTAGCTTCTTCTGATTGGTTGAAACGCCGTCGTATGCAAATGTACGTCGTAAAAGTTCACAACAGTCGAACTCTGGAAAATATTACGCCGACTTGCGCCTTTATACGCCGAGCACTCGATGACGTTGATAGTATATGAGCTGACGAACGCTGGCATCCGCCGACCACGAGCGCATGTTAGCGTATACAGTGGTGTAACCTATTTTCGTGGATATAAGGATTCAACACCGAATTTCGTCAAAGATAAAAAAACGAAAAAAATTGTTTATGTCTTAGATGTTTCCTCAGATATTCTACAAAATAATTAAAATTGGTTTATTTTGATTTTCTTTATGAATCCTTCACTTTGACCCATATTTCATGAGCAACTCGGCAACGGCTGCAGAATGCGTCACCTATTTTCGTGTACAATGTTTGATCTATAAATAAGTCGAGAAAAACACGTTGTATAGATACCGGGTGGTATAATTAACTTCTCTTAGTAGTTATCTTTAATATCAATTCATTATAACTAGTGACAATTCCTTCAAAGAACCACGATTTAAAAAAAAAATACTGACAAAATATGATACGTAGCGTGATTTATTGCTAAAAGTCACTGAAACAACATAAGAATATGGCCCACTTTGTGTTCCATAGAAATTTTCTGCTGACACGGAACCCGCTAGTTGATCACGTGACTTCATTCGTTGGAATACATTCTAGCAGACGACACTTGGAATTCCAATTACCGCTTGGGATTAAAAGGAAATTCGGCCGATAAAAAATGGTGATGTTTGGTAATAAGTGAAATCCGCCATTTTGTATTTGTCAAAGTATACATTAATACATTTTACCATGCTTGAAACTACTGGATTCATTCTACTACCTGACATTGTAGAGAAAACCCATGTTTATTAAAACAAACTAATGCGGAGGTCGCGCAAGATCGCTCATGTAAATTATTAATCCTTTCCGGAAATCCACGAATAATAGGTTTCCACGAAATTAGGTTACTTGACCGTACAGCAGTTGGCGGCGTCAGAAGTATAACTCTACCTTTATTTCCACGCAAGAACCATATGTTGTTTCGTATAAGTTCATACAAATAACTTATAAATATCGCATGAATAACTTAAACACTGTTCATCCTAACATCGTCAAATTTCAGCTTCTTTCATACTAAAAATATTGAACAGCTTAACAAAAAATTCGTGTTTTCGCCCAAACGCGTGGATGCAATTAATAATACGTAAAATATTATGTTCTGAAACAGACATTGTGAAAAGCGTTCCACAGGTCATTTTGTTTACAATACGTGCCAGTTTCAACTATTACGTTATTTTTATTCCTTAAAATATAAGTAAAGGGAGATAACTATATTTCACGTAGGGCCTAACGGTGAAATGTTTAGTTTAGTCCCACCTGTAGTATTATTATATTGGTATTTCCTCATCGATCATTAAGCATGATAGAAATTTTTTTGTTTAAATTACTGCTATGGTGTTTTACTTCATATGAATCATTCGGCTTCTTAAAACGGGCAATGTCAAAATATCGTTAAAATGATTGTGCTATTTACATCAATGTATCCACTTGATCAAACTGATGTAGTGTTAAATGGGTTAATTAACGGCGTATACCAATTATTGCTAAGCAAGGAGCCTAAACCAGTTTTGGTGCTGGGCCTACTCAATATTTTTTTGAAACCTTTAAATACGTACAATAGTTTCCTTAAACCTACCAAAAAGCATAACGAACTAAAAGATAGCTTGCCAGGCAAGGTAACATACGCCCAGTACCAGCTGTCAGAAATGATAACAAAATATTTAGTGGCCTAATAATAGATTTTCTTAAAATCATTTATAAGTCAAGGCAAAAACCTGAAACAGTTCATGAAATTATCATCAAATTCAAACATCATGAACACAAGGGCAATAACAGTTCATCCAATTATTACCAATTTTTAACTTGATGGAGATCTTACATGCATCTAGTTTCATCAAGATTTGATAAAATCTGTAGTCTCTGTCGTGCCTGCAGACCGAATTTGACAAGTTTTTACTAAGTCATGGGCAACAACATCGAAACCCTTCATCCGATTGTTATCAATTAAGAATCTCATCAACATATACATGCATACCTAGTTTCATCTAGGATGGATAAAAACTGTAGTCTCTATCGTGCCTACAATCGAAATTTGACGCGTTTTTAGTAGAGGGCAATAACTCCGAAACCATTCATTCGATTATTATTACAAATTTCAAACTTAACCGAGATCTTATCAATACATATATGCATAACAAGTTTCATCAAGATGAGATAAAAACTGTAGTCTCTATTGTGCCTACAAGTCAAATTTGACGTGTTTTTACTAATACAAGGGCAATAACTCTGAAACCGTTCATCCGATTATTACTAATTTCGAACTTGACCGAGATCTCATCAATATATACATGCATACCAAGTTTCAGTGTCAGTCGATTTTGACTTGCTTATTTGTTAGAAATTAAGTATTTGCTAAAGAATTTGATCCAATATCTAATGAATACTGTGGGTTTTTCTTTTCCGTTGTTGAAGCTTATACAGAAAAACCGGACCAGCCACTTTTCTGAGATCTCTGAAACCTTCCCACAAACAAGAGCAAAACATAATACACCATGAAACAACTCTTTAATCATTATGAATGGGAAAAGATATGATGCTATATTTATTTAATAATTAAAAAATCATTTATTATATTTATCAATACTTCCCTGATTATCATTATACGTACATAATACTGCTATATTGAGAACAAATTTATTAATACTATATATGTTAAAAATTCATTATTAATAAAAAAAATTGTAGTATGTCATATACATGTATTTGTAAAGTTAACTGTAAATAGATAAATTGTTTATTAATATTATAAAATCACAGTTTGAATAAATAACATCTTTCCAGGTGTAAGGATGTAAATTCCCTTGTACTGTAGTCCAAGAGTATTTTTTTGTCAACAAGAGGAATTACTGGATCAATGCTATAACAAAAGTAACAGGATTGGTTCTAAAAAACAACTTGCTGGATCTCCTTATAATTATAGACCCTTATTATAATATAATACATCTTCATTTGTTAAATTTAAAAACTCCTTTTCTAAATTCTTGGTAGATATCTGAAAGTATATTTCATTTGATCAACAATCATTTTTATTTCATTTTCATAGACTAATGCTGAACAAAAGCCTGTTAAAAATTTCTAGTCAATTGTATCAACTTGGACAATAACATCCATTCCATTGAGTGGATGCAATAAATACATTTTGTGGAGCATTTACTAATGCAGAAATCGAATGTTTTTTGATGTTCTGGATTAGAAATTATATGAATTTTGTATTTTTTTTATTTGTAGCATGGGCCCATGAATCATTTTATTTTTGATACTTTGATATACAAGAGATTAAACTTTCAAGTTGCCTTCTAAAAGAATATAATATAATTACTGGTGAGTTTTTCTTAAATAAGTAGTTAAGTTAGAAGTAAATCTTTTGCCCTGAAGGAAATCACTTACCTGAGAATACTGTGGAAACAAGGCTATAGCAACTGGTAATGCTAATGCAAAAGCAGCTGTACATACAAATGCATTCACAGGTAAATGTATTTTAGGATAGCGCTTCAAAAACTTTGTCCTATGTAATAATTAAAAAATTAAGTAAGTTATTTTAATGATATAACTAAAGATATTGTCAATATACAAATTATTTACTTAGCCTATAATACATATTCAATATTGAGAATTTGGAAGTGTGTCATACTTTATTAATATGTTAATATATCTTTTTATTAATACAATCATGTATTCATATCAAAATTAACTGTAGAAGTTGGTGTAACCATTCAATCTAAACAAGACATTGGTGCTGAAATTACACATATGAAGTACATAATTAATCATACAACATAAACATCCTTAAAAGCAAAGTAAATTTTTCATATTTGCCAGACTATCTATTGAAATAAAGTATTTATCTGGTGCCACAGTTACCTAAATCAATAACAATACTACATGATCTGTACAACACAGCAAACAATGGTACAACAAACAAGGGAATTTTAAAGACAATTTTCACACTTCAATAAATTTATCCCTGTCTTAGTAGTTCACAACAAATGTCACAATATAATACCACAAAAATTTCAGTGATTAAACAATTACAAAACTAAAGATAAGGTGCAATACAGGCAAGAGCAAACAACAATTTGTGAAAAAAATTCTGCTTAAAACATTCAGTGTACTGGTGTAAAATAAAGGTCCTTCAAAATCTCTAGAAACACACATTATATGTTCTCTAAAATAGTGATTAATTCATGACAGTGGTTCTATATCTACAGTACAACAATTCCTGTCACAAACCTTTCTAATGCTCCCATAACCAGTGGAACTAATATCAACACTGGAGCAGGTAGTACAATTCTTGTACAAGCTGTTTCTATCAATGCCTACACATGTAGAAATAATACAATTTTTTTTTTCCAATTGTAAATTGTAAATACAATGAATTGAGGTCAAGTTTTTTCACTTTTAGCTAACTTTAATTATAATCCCTTGAAAATCTAACCTATCACAGCAAACAGTGATTGATTGACCAGTTTATGATCAAATAAAAATTCTTTTCATTAAAATGATGCTAATTCATTAGTGATCAGCAACACAACTCTTAATCTCTAATCAACTTTAAATCATTTGAAATAAAGGTCCAAATTAACTACTTTGCTGTTTCAATATTAAAGATTATCTGTTCGATGATATTCAACTTTTAAATTTAATTTAATTATATATTTTAATAATTTTCACCATACAAACCTATTACTTACAATTAATAATACAATCAAAATATATAACATGTTAAGATGTTATTTTGCACATTCAAAATAATTTTTGAAGTTATTTTATAAAGTTATTAGCAAGCATTAAGGAAATGAAATAAAATGTTTTGTGTTCTTCTTCCTGCTCCTGAATGAGATATTGAAGAAGGGAAATGACATGTAATGAACAATGAGGTATATTTTGTAAGAACAGCAGGATTGGGATTATGGATTTGTTTTAGATTTCACTTAAAAAAGACATCCACTGTAGCACATGAGGTCTGGTAATACTGTCCCATCCAAATGACTAGAAAAGTATTATTATCTCAACAAGCTAGATCTTACCCTAGACAATCTGGTAAGCTCAGAAGAGCCTAATTCAATGAGCCACCACACTCCCCTAAAAATTTGAATTTAGCAAGAAGGAAATATGCGAAAAAAGAGAAAAATCATTAGGCCTACTATATTTGTGTAGAATAAAAGAGGATTATAAATGGTGCAAGCTATATATTATAAAAGGATAAATGGAAACAAGCTCAAGTAACAGAGAAGAATATTAATATATGAATACACATAGAGTGTGTGGTGGTTTATAACTCACCTTTCAATATAAGACATTATTATTGGTGGTAAAATTAATATTGGTGCAGGGAGAACCAATCTAGTGATAGCTGTTTCAATTAATGCCTAAATATAATAGTAGTCATAAAGGAGTTTAACAATTTCAAACTGTGTAAATACTTCCCACTAACACTGGGATGAAAAGCTGTCTGTTTGGTGCAGTTGAATAGTTCAGAGGGTAGTGAGTTGTTGTCTGCCCAATGGTGTTTCCAGAAAAAAGGCTGACCGGCTTTGACCCCCACCCCCAGCTATTACTTATCAATTTACATAATGGAAGCATAGCCTGTTTAAACATTTCTGGATTTAAATCTGCGAAAGCCTGACTTCAACCTGATGATTTTTTTATTCATTATCATATTACTGTGTTTCAATTTAAAATTATCATATTAATCAAGCTAACAACGCTAATTTAAAGAAATTCTTTCAATTCATATTCAGCTTTCATGGCTGTTAGCCATGTCTCCTAATTTAACATTGATGTTTAAAGCCACAGAAATCTTTGCTTCACACAATGACAGTTTTCAGTGGTGAAGTGCCTTCTCCAAGAGCCCACCTAGCAAAAAAAATACTCATTTGGACTCTTTTATATTGCTCTTAACAAAATTTACATAAAAAAAACCAATTTAAAGGAGTATTAAACAATGCAGTTTATTAATACTACATGCATAAATGTATTTATTATTGTCTACAGAGGTTAAATATAGAATTATGATAAAGAAACATCACCATGAGAGAAAGTAGATTATATTGAAGGATTGAAGATATTATCCATAAAAGGCGACCTACCAAACCTTTCACAAGAAAGAGTTAAAAGACAGAAAGGGAAGAACTTTTATCCTTTCAGGTTTTCAGACTGACCTTTCTAAACTAGCCATTATTATTGGTGGAATTATAAAAATAGGAGCTGGTAGTACGATTCTTGTAATAGCTGTCTCTGTTAAAGCCTAATATTGCAATAAAGCACAATTGACAATCAGGGACAAAATAAGATTCCCTAAGCTAATAAAGTAAATTATGTACCCTCCATGAGCAGTATGGTAACACAATGAAAAGCACCAAGTTTGGTCATGATATGAGTTTTGACAGTCAGACACCAGTGTTATTGTGCATGAAATGGAATTTTTAAAGCAAAATTTGAACATAAAGTGACAAAATCGAGAATCCCACCTTCCCAATGATAATAGGTGAAAAAAACAAGTGAGAACATACCTTTTTAGCAGCTATTAAACTTGTTCCTACAACTTTGCCATCTTTATCAGTCACATCTATTCCTTCTGATAACTCATTATTTCTCATTAATACAACATTACACACACTAGCACTGGCTGAAATACATTATCACCAATACATAACAAACACTATAACTAACTGAAATACAGTATCATCAATACAACATTACACACACTAGCACTGGCTGAAATACATTATCACCAATACATAACAAACACTATAACTAGCTGAAATACAGTATCATCAATACAACATTACACACACTAGCACTAGCTAAAATACATTATCACCAATACATAACAAACATTATAACTAGCTGAAATACAGTATCATCAATACAACATTACACACACTAGCACTAGCTGAAATACATTATCACCAATACATAACAAACACTATAACTAGCTGAAATACAGTATCATCAATACAACATTACACACACTAGCACTGGCTGAAATACATTATCACCAATACATAACAAACACTATAACTAGCTGAAATACAGTATCATCAATACAACATTACACACACTAGCACTAGCTGAAATACATTATCACCAATACATAACAAACACTATAACTAGCTGACACAAGCACTAGCTAAAATACATTATCACCAATACATAACAAACACTATAACTAGCTGAAATACAGTATCATCAATACAACATTACACACACAAGCACTAGCTAAAATACATTATCACCAATACACAACAAACACTATAACTAGCTGAAATACAGTATCATCAATACAACATTACACATACTAGCACTGGCTGAAATACATTATCACCAATACATAACAAACACTATAACTAGCTGAAATACAGTATCATCAATACAACATTACACACACTAGCACTAGCTGAAATACATTATCACCAATACATAACAAACACTATAACTAGCTGAAATACAGTATCATCAATACAACATTACACACACTAGCACTAGCTGAAATACATTATCACCAATACATAACAAACACTATAACTGGCTGAAATACAGTATCATCAATACAACATTACACACACAAGCACTAGCTAAAATACATTATCACCAATACATAACAAACACTATAACTAGCTGAAATACAGTATCATTAATACAACATTACACACACTAGCACTAGCTGAAATACATTATCACCAATACATAACAAACACTATAACTAGCTGAAATACAGTATCATCAATACAACATTACACACACAAGCACTAGCTAAAATACATTATCACCAATACATAACAAACACTATAACTAGCTGAAATACAGTATCATTAATACAACATTACACACACTAGCACTAGCTGAAATACATTATCACCAATACATAACAAACACTATAACTAGCTGAAATACAGTATCATCAATACAACATTACACACACAAGCACTAGCTAAAATGCATTATCACCAATACATAACAAACACTATAACTAGCTGAAATACAGTATCATTAATACAACATTACACACACTAGCACTAGCTGAAATACATTATCACCAATACATAACAAACACTATAACTAACTGAAATATAGTATCATCAATACAACATTACATACACAAGCACTAGCTAAAATACATTATCATAAATACAACATTAACACACCCTAGCTGAAATACATCACATTAATACATCCTTTTAATACAAGCACTGACTGAAATCAATGCAACATCACTGAATCACAAACTAGCCCTGGCTGAAAAACATTTTCACTAATACAACAGGGTATCATGTTTTTACAAATGAAGTTTATTGATGCAATCAATGTTTTTATCAAAATGAAATGAAGGCTAATCAAGGTACATACCTACAGCAGGAAAAGGGACAAATCTTTGAATTAATAACTTTGTAGCGGGACTAAATCTGTTTGCTTTCTTTATCAAATTTTTCAAACCTAGCTGAAATATATAATTTAAATACTACCAACTGTAATAAATTCCAAAATAAGCTGTCCTGATGACTTTTTAGTGATGAGGATTGGATGTCCAAAACATGTGTCAACAGCATGAGATAAGCTTATAGAATAATACTACATAATGAATAAATACCAGTACTTTAAAATCACTACTAATATTCTTTCAATAAGAATGGTTTGAAATTAAACTTTTTTCGAAATAAATACCATAATCCAGAGAGAGGAAAAAATTTACTTACTGCAATACCAACGGCACTAGTGACAGCACCTAAATATCCCATAATGAATCTGTTGATAGGTGTGGGCTATAAAATATTCACAAAATTTACCTATATATATAAAATACAATCCCAATTTGTTGATATTGAAAAGCTGGAATAGGGATAAGAATATTGGCTGTTGCATAAATAATAAATTTTGTACTTGATAAATCAAACTGATTAATATAACACTTCATGTCTACCTCAATGAATGTGTTACTAACTAGGAATTGCTATTGGAATAAGTATATGTTAGTTTTCTACATGAGATTATAAGAAAAAATATTTAACAGATACCTTGGATGCGTTCCTATTGGAATAATTAACACAGGCATTATGACTCTGATTTAACCATTGCCAGAATATAACACTAGTTATTGATGGATTCGGAAGTAATAAACCAACAACCTATATAAATTATCATATTATTATCTACAGTCATCATTAAAACACCAATTGTAAAGAGGTTTTCTAGCCTAGGTTTTTGTATATCAGGAGGGCAACTAATAGCACTGATATTCGATTGCAATTCCACTAAAACTGGGAGTTTTATGACATGCTTATCTAACAATAGCAGCTTTTGCGATGGCGACGTCATAAAGTGCTATTAAAGTGCATAGTTTAACTTTAAGTGGAATTGCAGAAACTACAGATGTCTGATTGAAAATTGGAATGATGCAAATTGATGCTATACAACCTCTTCACAATCCCTTTAATGTACATAAAACTAAATCCACTTGAGACATAACTTGTTTTTATTTTCATATAGCTGACACACACATCCCCTTTAACCAATTTCTATAGCAAATGATATATATTTAAATATATGAGTTAATTACGAAAGTTTGACTCAAAATTAAATATAAGTTGAAAGGTTTAAAACATTGCTAAAAAAAATTATATATACCATAGGAGATCCGAAAGGAACATAACCTACAAAATATAAATCTTTCCTGTATTACTTTAGTCAGTAAACATTGATTCAGAATTATACAGCTGCAATCTCAATACATGTAACCTTTTTTACATGTATTTTATGTTTAGATAACTATTGTAAAGTAGATCCAGAGAATGTACATTACAAAACATTCTGTTTATAAGAACATCACAATTTCATCTTTCAAGTCAGCTCACACCGGAGTTCAATATTAAATGCAACAATTACTTTATGAGTAATGCTCAAGGATATCAAATCTAGCCTTCAACCTACCTGACATTCTAAATGGCATCAATATTTTTTCACCAGTATCTGGATGTATGATAGCCTGTAATATTAAGTATATTTTGTGCTTACTATATCTTATTTATTATATATAAACTATATTTTATTGATAATTTTAAGAGATTGGTGAACAGGCTTACATCTATATAAAATCACCAGCTAACAGCAAAATGGCTGCATCAATTGGTTTAAAAGAAATCAACCTTTCAGAATGAACACAGAATTCACATTTCAACCTTGACCAATAAGCATAGATATTCATCAGTTGACATGCCTGATATCACAACTATATAACAATTGCAATTATTAATTGTAGTTATATGAATAATTACTTAGTTTTATGAATAATTACTTAGTTTTATGAATAATTACTTAGTTTTATGGTTTTTTGACAAAAGGTAGGTCCACTTATGAATTTTTTATTCTTATTTTCTCTTATTTGATAAGATTGAGACTTTGAATGTTATGTTCATTCTAATAGGTTAATTGACTTTTCTTTAACATATTGGTGAAAATGGAAATAATTGGAGGGTAGGATATGGGACATACATTAATCTTTTCAAGCATACAAAAAAAACACTTGAGAAAAATGAAGTTTGAATTTATAAACCATATTATTGAAATGAGGGTACATGACATCTCTCGACCCACCTGTTTAATTTTCTGAGCCTTCCATAAATCTTCATCTCTTGTACCAGGGGGTAGCTGACCTTTTTTATAATCATTTAATAATTGACATGATTCTTTTAACTTTTTCTAGAAAATAAACTTTACAGTGGAATTGGCTGATTCTTTAGGCTTAAAATGCAAATACAAAGACTGTGTGGTACAGAACAAATGTGGTGATGAAATTACTTAATAGATATTGTCTGTGTCATTAACTATGTAAAGTACAAGATTCTACACATCAACAATTTTCATTTGATTATACTGGGTGAATTGACTTCAAATATTATATACAGATTCCAGTGTGAATTTCAGAGCTTTTTTGCTGTAGCACATTGGGCTTTTACTTCAAATTACTGTTCTTTTTTCAACCTTGCCTTCCAAACTGTGTAATTTGCTAATTAAGGCATATTAGCCTATGCTAGGATTGTACCTTTGATCTCCCAATTAGTGAAAACTCATTAAGCAATTATAGTTCCAAATGATTTGACTCCAGAATCTTTTAGCAGTTCAGATAAAACTATAACTTACCTCTGAAGTAAGTAAAGTTGAGGGATCTATTATATCTAAAAAATGTCTCAATCTACCACTAAAGGTACTCTAAAAAAGACAAATAACTAGTCTCAAACATCTATGAATACAAACATAAATACTAGAAAACAATTTGAAACTAATTTCAATCGATATAAATAATGCTCATTAACTCAAATAGGTACACCAGGAGCACTGATCAATTAACAAATGCGATTAGTCATGATGTTGCTAATAGCTGCATTTGCTGTAAACTGAATCATCCCATGTAGTGATTTCATGTGGAAACTTGGTTCAAAATCGAATGGGAGAATCCAGAATATGACTCTTCTCTGGTCAACCTGAAGTATTGCTGGAATTTCTCCCCATACTATTGTAACTCTTTACCAGATTAGGATACGCTCCTTGTTGCAGCATCTTCATGAGTATGTCATGAACCATCCTGTGGTGTTTTCTTTGCATATTACGCTTTGAGTAACAGATCATGTTGCTCCCTTTCCAACTAAAAAGACAACTGCAATTTGGATTGATTCACCATATTCTTAGCTTGAAAACCTTTAGCAAAGAAGACTGAAGACTATATGGACTCTTAGCTTTATCCTTTATCTTATAGTTTGTATACTTTGTTATCCTTCAAAAGAAAACGTTGTTATACTTCAATAGAAAACTTTGTTATACTTCAATAGATACTTTGTTTTACTTCAATAGAAAACTTTGTTATACTTCAATAAAAACTTTGTTATACTTCAATAAAAACTTTGTTATACTTCAGTAGAAAACTTTGTTATACTTCAATAAAAACTTTGTTATACTTCAATAGAACACTTTGTTATACTTCAATAGAAAACTTTGTTATACTTCAATAAAAACTTTGTTATACTTCAATAGAAAACTTTTTTATACTTCCATAGATACTTTTGTTTTACTTCAATAGAAAACTTTGTTATACTTCAATAGAAAACTTTGTTATACTTCAATAAAAACTTTGTTAAACTTCAATAGATACTTTGTTATACTTCAATAGAAACTTTGTTATACTTCAATAGAAAACTTTGTTATACTTCAATAAAAACTTTGTTAAACTTCAATAGATACTTTGTTATACTTCAATAGAAACTTTGTTATACTTCAATAGAAAACTTTGTTAAACTTCAATAGATACTTTGTTAAACTTCAATAGATACTTTGTTATACTTCAATAGAAAACTTTGTTATACTTCAATAGAAAACTTACGCTTTGAGTAACAGATCATGTTGCTCCCTTTCCAACTAAAAAGACAACTGCAATTTGGATTGATTCACCATATTCTTAGCTTGAAAACCTTTAGCAAAGAAGACTGAAGACTATAATTATGGACTCTTAGCTTTATCCTTTATCTTATAGTTTGTATACTTTGTTATACTTCAATAGAAAACTTTGTTATACTTCAATAGATACTTTGTTACACTTTATTACTATTAGGATAATCTATGATGATATTGTGTCTGTGAGCTAAAAATACTATCTATTCACATTCACATTTTATTAGACATTGTATATACTCATGTAGTCAGTCATATAAATTGTTCATTCTAATTGGTTAAAAGTTTATTATCAGGTACACCAAACAAGTATTAGTCATGACACAGTCTTTACCTGAATATATATCTAGGCTACTTTTATTTTATATTTTTACAATTAAATATATTTTTAGATTTACAGTAAATGACAGAACATCTTTTCACACAAGAACAGAAAGTATGCTGACATTGCTCCTGCTAAAAAAAAAAGAAAAATTCAGTAAACAGTTGCCAAAAACTGTCCCCAGCTTTTCAATTACCTCAATGCACGGTTTTACACAGGGACAACTAAAGGAAGGCACTCCAAAGATAACCCTCACAATTCAATCTTAAGCTTGAAATTCAAGGCTTTAATCAACAGCTGATACTATTATACTGAACTGAGTATATAATTTATTTACCTGATCAAACCTTGGTTTATTCAACCTAAACGCCGGCCAATCTGCATGTCCTTCTGCCATTGTGTCTGTTCTTACTGTCACTGCCCTTTTATCAATTTGTCGACAACAGAAGTACACCATTTATCAATGATTCCACATAATCATCAGTCCATAGTACAATAATGTACTTAACAGAGACTAGGTCATTAAAAATAGGTCAATGTGAATCAAGTCATGTGACATTGTTTGGACTCGAATTTTAGTCTCGTATAACAGGTCACATTGACAGAACTTCATAAACATCTTTATAAAAATTCTTTATTTAATAATAATGAATTCTTTATTTAGCTAACAGTTAGGCTTTGAGTTCTAAACTTTGGTTCATCAGTTAAAAATTAATAATAAGTCTGTATCTTCATTTCACCATAAACCAATGAATAAAAAATCCTTTAAGACAGCAACACCATGGAATGTGGAAATATGGCTTACCCTTTTCCAACTGTAAAGGAGACCCCATTTGTAATAGGATGTAATATGTCCTGTAGTTGGTTAATCTTGAAATCCCAACAAATATATAACAATACCAGATAAATATGTTTATTTACATTTTATAGGCACACAAAATACCCTGCTTACAGAAATGATGATTTATTTGTGTATTTTTTAATTACATGTATAAGAGCCAATATCAACAATATCTTATTAATATTTTAAATTTGAAACAGTATAAAATAGTTTATACTGGAAATTAAAATTTTCATTCTGAAAGCAATATAATACAAAATAACAAGCACTGTTGATACAACAAAAGACCTGCACATTTAATCTAGGACTAGGACATAAAATAGTGTGGTAAAAATCTTTCATCCAAACTTTAAATCCATTCAATACAGATTTAAATAACAGCAACATTTCTCATTAAGACAAATAAAAAATGATCTAAAACTGGATGGGTATCTATAAAAGATTTTCAACAATTTTGTTTTTGAAGCTCAATTTCAAGTATATAGCTCAAGTATAAACTGACTTCATAATGGAATGCAGACAATACATCTATTTTATCATTCTTTTTCATTCTGGATAACTATATTAATAGTTAGAATGAGACTAGGCTGAAAAAATGGATGTCTATCAATGACAAGATAGCAAAATCCTTTCAAAGACTAGGTGGTGAATTTACAAGTACATGTATCACAATATATATATGATAGACATCACACGTACTGGGCTCAACTATCAAATGATCTTGTCCCAGTTTGTAAAGCGTAATTTCAGTCATAACCAAATGAAAACTATCATTTCAATTATATAGTTGCATATTCATCCCTAATCTGCAATTAAAAACCTAGCATAAAAATACATCAGAGTGAATTCATGTTTGCCATGTCTCTTCTCGTTGGTGAACTATGTTTCAAACAATTGGCCAATAGTAGTCACCTCCTAAAATCTCCTAAACAATTCTTAAGCCTCACAATCATCAATACCCAATGTTATCTTTCAGGTATTTTTTGTATTGCTTTAATCAAAATTCTATTCGATCCAGAAATCACGATGGGTTGAAGAATTCTGAATTAATAACTAAATCCTTTGCACTGCCATAGTCTAATAATTCTTTGAACAATTGTCGAATGTCTTTAAGTACTTCTCTGTCAACTCTTGTATTACTTTTAAATCGTTTCTTTTTCAATATACAGTCAGTCAGGTAATGGAGCCAGAAAATATTAGAATATGGTTTGAAATCATCCCACTTGTTCCTGAAACAGAAATGTTACAAATAATACTATACAGTAGAGTCCTGTTTAACCATTTGCTAATAATACAGACATGCCAATATCCACATGGGAATGGAATATTTATTATGTAATCTGATGATCTGGTTTTCTGCATCATTGGCATACGAATATAACAAGAAGTAATATAACAAGGGTTAGATTAGGAGATGGAACAGATTGCTTTTGTGTATCAGCCTCAATTTGAAACTTGAATTAAATGGGGGAATGAAGTTATCTTTGTTTATTTTCCAATACTAATTTTGTCAGAAATTTCACACTTAACAACTGTGGCATAACACTTTTACCCTGCGCTTTGCAAGTCATCACAAGATAAGGGACACATGAAGCTTTAAACCATCATTTATCCGTGAACATACATAGAGTACAAATTTCCTGGCCAACTAACCCATTATGTTCTTTCATTAAACGGTAAATATCAAACTGATAATCTCCTTCTCCCTCAAATAGAGTTTTATCATCAGCCAGATTACAATGTATAATAACACCATCTATAATACAAATAGAGTTTTATCATCAGCCAGATTACAATGTATAATAACACCATCTATAATACAAATAGAGTTCTATCATCAGCCAGATTACAATGTATAATAACACCATATGTAATACAAATAGAGTTTTATCATCAGCCAGATTACAATGTATAATAACACCATCTTTAATACAAATAGAGTTTTATCATCAGACAGATTACAATGTATAATAACACCATCTGTAATACAAATAGAGTTTTATCATCAGCCAGATTACAATGTATAATAACACCATCTGTAATACAAATAGAGTTCTATCATCGGCCAGATTACAATGTATAATAACACCATCTGTAATAAAAATAGAGTTTTATCATCAGCAAGATTACAAAGTATAACAACACCATCTGTAATACAAATAGAGTTTTATCATCAGACAGATTACAATGTATAATAACACCATCTGTAATACAAATAGAGTTTTATCATTAGCTTAATTACACTGTACAATTACACTATTTGTAATACAAATAGAGTTTTATCATTAGCTAGATTACACTGTACAATTACACTATTTGTAATACAAATAGAGTTTATAATTAGCTAGATTACAATTACACCATCTGTTTTACAGATAGAGTTTTATCATCATAAGTCAACTGTTCATTCAAACATCATAGACTTCATTATTCTTAATCAGATTTAGGTGTATATTAATGAAATTCTTGAACTTGTATGTGATAGAGAAATTACAAGAAATGTTGAAAAAGTCATTCTATGTAAGAGGAAAATTTGAAATACCTTTCTTTAATCTGGACATGGTAAAATCTATGATAAATATGTGTACACCATTAGTTTCTATTGACACTTTGTGTCCATCTATAGTACAATCTACAGTTCTGTCTTCTGTAGCTTTCACTAATACATTGCCTATATGTAAATCTCTATGTTCAAACTCGAACGCTTCTTCAGCAACTGCCAGAGCATAGGCTGTCTGTATCAACACACTTTTTGCTTGATTGGGATTATCAAACTGAAATGAACAGAAAATAAAAATATCAGTTCAGTTGTTTAATAGAAATAAAGAACTTGTTAATCTACAACCTAACATCGGCATGGCCCATAACCACTCTAGTAAGCTATGAATAAAAACACAAGTATTAAAGTCTGGAAGGTTACAAGTCAGCTGTCTCAAAATGATATTAATGAACTCATATAAAATGATGTACTTATTGATTATTCAAAAAAATCAGTACCTGAAATGCACTTAAATCACATCCACCATCAGCAAATTCAAACACTATAAATAATTGATCATCTTTAAAAATACCTGAAAAATGTCACAAAATATAAAATAATAGGTAATGAGATGGGAATTTTACATCCTTGTGGAGTCAACAACAGATACCACCATGTGCAAAGAGAGAAATTTATGCTAGAAAAGTAGAGATGATATACACTATTCCTATTTCCAGCCTAGGGTACCTTTTTTCCAAGCTGGCCCCTCTGAATTTTTAATCTTGTGTTATAATTTTGATTTAGAATTATAAGTTAGGTGTTACCTGGTCTATCATTTTCAGATACTTTTCTTTCATCATAATCATCCCATTGTTTCAATAATTGTTTAGGATAGCAGCCTTTTACGCAAGCCACTCTGAAATATACAATCAATGGTCTGATCTGAATAGTAAAAGAGTAAAAATTTCTGACTGTGTGTCTGGGATATTTGACAATTTTGTTGGGAATTCTTATGTAACGCAGTGTTCAGTTATTCAAAAGGACAAGAATTAAAAACCGGACTCAATCATGTGATATTTGACTAATATCTAGCCTTAGGTTTTAAGTAAGTATAGCCTACCTATTAACTTGACAATAGTTATCAGTTCTATATACTTCATTATACCTCAGATCACTCAATTCTCTAATAAAATAATTCACATTGTTACTTCATACTATTAATATATTACTTTATCAAATGATTTTTGCCACATGTAATTGGCAAAAAATGAGAATTGGATTACAAAAATCCAACAAATAACAAGAAAATATTCAAATTGAGATTTAATAATCATTAGAAATAGGGACTTGTTTTATTATAGATATTATATTGTGATTTATTCTCTGGATGTGTAACTCACTGTGAAATTAATACTTCTGGTAAAACTTCTTCAAATGTTTTCTGTTGTTCATCATTGACTTTAAAATCACCTTCAATTGGTATAATCTAAACATTTATTATAATAATAACAAAACATAAGTTGACAGTGTTATTGTTCACAGGCTTAATCCAAATTGTAGTCAAAGCAACATTCCATTCCCTACAATCTGAATTAGCTGAGAGCTTAAAACAATTTGGTGTCTTCTGGTTTTCAAAATTAGACTAAATTCATATGGATAAAACTTGATTACCTACCTTAATGGCAACAGAATGTCCGTCTCTACTAGATCTAAATACTTCTCCATAAACACCTTCACCTATCTTGATACATTTATTTAACATTCTAGAACAAATTAAATGTTATCAGGATCCATTTGCATGATTGAAATTGTCTTGTAGAATGAAATATGGACTAGTTTTCTTATCTAAATAATTAATCTTCAAACATCAGTGATATTAAATAATAAAATATATTCTAACCAGACTTCTATATTAAAAACTGTCTGTTTCAGTCCAGCTATGTACAATGTCAATTAAAATTGCACAAAATGAGACATGTTTCTTTTCAAGTACATGCTATTCCTGTTTTGGTCATTTAGTACATATTACTCACATGACAATCTTTAGCAACACTCAAGGTATGAAACATTTAAAAATTGGCACTTACTTTAATGGAATACACTCTAAAAATGATACTATCTTCTGTTTTTGGCACAAAGATAATATTTTAGATCTAGGTGAATATTGTCCAGATTTATTAGACTGTTTAGGTGTTAACATTTCCTGTAAAATATAAATTGTTTTATAAATCACTCTCATTTTTTACTTTGACATTAATAATTTTTGTATTCAGATTAAAAGATAGCTTGCGAGGCAAGGTAACATATGCCCACTGGCAGCTGTCAGAAATGATAAAACAGTCTTTAGTGACTAAAGTGCGAATTTTCTCATATTGAAGAAATTTTATTAGTTTGAATTCAATTACATATATATGCCAGTTATTTATGCTGAGTAATTCCACAAATCTTTTTAAAATCAATATCAATAACCCAAATACAATAAACAATCAAATCACACAGCTCTAATCAAGGGCAATAACTCAAAAACCATTAATCGCAAATCGTCAAGTTAGAACTTGTCCGATATTTTATCAATTCTAATGATTATGCAAATTTCATCAGAATCGGATGAAAACTGTAGCTTCAATCCTGCTCACGAACAATTTTTAACAAATTTCAAAGCGTTTTAACAGTCAAGGGCAATAACTCAAAAACCGTTTATCGAAAATGCGTCAAGTTAGAACTTGTTCGAGATCTTATCAATTCCAATGATCACACCAAGTTTCATAAGAATCGGTTGAAAACTGTAGCTTCAATCCAGCTCACGAACTATTTTTAACAAATTTCGACGAGTTTTAACAAAGTCAAGGGCAATAGCTCAAAAACCGTTCATCGCAAATGCTTCAAGTTAGAACTCGTCCGAGATCTTATGAATTCCAATGATCACAATAAGTTTCATCAGAATCGGAAGAAAACTGTAGCTTCAATCCTGCTCACGAACAATTTTTAACAAATTTCAAGGCGTTCTAAGTCAAGGGCAATATCCCAAAAACCGTTCATCCAAAATTCGAACTTGACCGAGATCTTATCAATCTTAAGCATCACACCAAGTTTGATAAAAATGAGATAAAAACTGTAGTCTCTATAGTGCTCAGAAGAACTGTGGACGGACCGACGGACAGGGGCGACGACAATATACGACCACATATTCATATGGGCGTATAAAAGTAAAGTAAAAAGTTTCAGTCAGAGTAAAATCTTTAGCATTTCTTTTGTCATTAGATGTGAGTTTCTGTACCATACACAAATAATCACATATAAACTTACCACAAAAGATCTAGAAAAATTAGCTTGATTGCTAACTGGTGTAGAAAAAGGCTTTAAATTATTTTCATTAGTTTTTCTGCAGTGTTCGGGTCTACTATTATTTTGAGCTGTATGATATGATACATCAGATTCCACCAAACTGTGTTCTGATTCCATTTCATCTGATGTCTGGTAAGCATCAGCTTCTTGATCGTCCAATCCTACAACTCGTAAGTTATGTTTTGTTACTGATATATTGTGATGGAAAAGTTGAGATGGAGAGACAACATTAATACTTTCTTCTGACCAATGATCAATGTCATCTTCTTCTTCTTCCAATATAGCCAATTCTGTTAATGCATATCTTGTTGTTTCTAAATCTTCACAGAAGTCTTCTTCTTTTGCACCATATTCCTCTTCTTCTTCTCCAACTTGATCTTCGTCATCTTCGTTTTCCTGGCTTTCAGAATCTTCCTCAAAGCTTTGATTTGATCCACTCTTTTCTTCTTCGTCTTCTTCGATAATACTGAACGTATGATGATCAGACACTTCATCTTCTTCTGTTTCATAATCTTCATTTTCCTGCTTTTCCGAAACATCTTCCTCATAGCTTCTGCTTCCACTGTCATTTGATCCATTATTTTCGTCTTCTTCTCCTTCTTCAATAATACTGAAAGAATGATCTTCTGTGTCATTATCATCACTTTCTTCTGTGACATCATCCATAGCCTCAGTGGAAAGGTCTGGGGAAGATGGCTGTTTAGTACTACTACTAGTGTTATCAAATAAACTAACAGATCTATTTTCCTGTAACTTTTTTCGTTTTTTAGTTTTCTCTGCAATAAAACTATCTCTCAATAGAGTCAGTTCAACCAAACACTTTAATTTCTTTTGATCTGCAATAGTAATTCCATTAGACTTTTTAACATTACCGGTGTCCTCTTTCCCAACTTTTAAAATTTTTGATGATTTTGAACAATTCGGAGAATCAAACAAGCTTCTTGTTCCATCAAAAATACTCCTGGTTCTATTAGATATAGGACTAGGACTTAATTGATTTCTAGTTCTTTTAGCAACACGAGAAGATAAGGTTTGAAAATTTGAATGGTTCTTAGATACATCTTTATGTTCAGATTTCGAGTCATGAGAGGAATTGAGTTGAACTTTTGAAGAGTCATTATCTAGAGATGGTGATCCTGATATACTGGATAAATTTAACTTAGGTGTTGTAGAGTTAGCACTGATGTAAGATACAGGACTATCCTCTAATTCTTCAATCTGAGATATGTCACAGTTGTTTATTTTAGTAGTAGCTGCCCTACAAGGTGTACTTGTTTCTACATTCAACGCATCTGGTACTAAAAGATTATTTGCAGCTAAGATATTTCGCTTGGTGGATTTTTTGACTTTATTTGAATTATCTGAATCAACTACCAAGCTATAGTCATCTAATTCACTAAAATTATAAGACTGATCTTTATGTGTTGATTTGACAGTGGACTTAAATCCTACAGACTGTTTTGTTGTTGAACTTCTTGTGAATCTATTTGTGGTATCTCGTAACCCCTTTCTTATCACATCTGAATCACTATCCTGCAAATGTAAAAGTTAGATTATCAAGCACAGCTAAGGAATAATCCAAAAATAAATTTTTTGGGGAATAGTGCCAGATAAAAACTGTGTGAAGAATAAAAGTGTTATATTTTCAGAGAACTGTATCGGCTCAGTGAGTAAAGCACTGCTTAGAAGTATGAGCTTTAATTCTGACATATAACAAGGATCAGGATAATTACCGGTATAGGAATTTATATCATTAATAATATGATTAAAGTATACAGACATATCGCCATATATCTAAGGAATGACCTGAACATTATTTCAGTTTGTTGATGTATAAACAGAAAAAACCTGTGTACACTGTATAAATCCGCATAGCGGATCATGATCTGTTGACCACTATAAAACTACTTACTGAAGAATTAAAATCTTTAAAATTCTTAACTCTTCTTTGATATCTATTTTCTTCATTTACTTTCTTTCCTAGAAATTGTTTCCTATAAAATAATAATAGATACCATTTTCAAATATGAAAAGATAGCTTGCGTTGCAAGGTAACATACGCCCACTGGCAGCTGTCAGAAATAATAAAACAGTCTTTAGTGACTAAAGTACAAATTTTCTCATATTTAAGAAATTATTTATGCTGAATAATTCCACAAACTTTTTAAAATCAATATCAATAACCCAAATACAACAAACAATTAAATCACACAGCTCTAATCAAGGGTAAAAAACTTTTGACGCATGTTTACAAAGTCAAGGGCAATAATAAAAATGTTCATCAAAAATATCTCTTGTTAGAACTTGTCTGAGATCTTATCAATTCCAATGATCACACCAAGTTTCATCAGAATCGGTTGAAAACTGTGATCAATGATCACACCAAGTTTCATCAGAATTGGTTGAAAACTGTAGCTTCTATTGTGCTCACGAATAAATTTTGACGCGTTTTTACAAAGTCAAGGGCAATAACTCGAAAACCGTACATCAAAAATGCATCAAGTTAGAACTCGTCCGAGATCTTATCAATTCCAATGATCACAACAAGTTTCATCAGAATCGGTTGAAAACTGTAGCTTCAATCCTGCTCACAAACTATTTCCACGCGTTTTAACAAAGTCAAGGGCAATGACTCAAATAGAGAAAAACGTCAAGTCAGACACGATATTTCAGTGAAAAATTATCCGATCATCACAAAAATCAATAGGGATCATCTTCATAATGACATTGACACACAAAATAAAAATCAAAAAAATCTGTAAAGAATTGTAGCCTGTAGAGTGAGCACGAGTTGCACAATATAGCTAATAGAGTAAAACGTCAAGTCAGACACGATATTTCTGTGAAAAATTATCCGATCATCACGAAAATCAATAGGGATCATCTTCATAATGACATTGACACACAAAATAAAAAATCAAAAGAATCTGTAAAAAATTGTAGCCTGTAGAGTGAGCACGAGTTGCACAATATAGCTAATAGAGAAAAACGTCAAGTCAGACACGATATTTCGGTGAAAAATTATCCGATCATCACGAAAATCAATAGGGATCATCTTCATAATGACATTGACACACAAAATAAAAATCAAAAGAATGTGTAAAAAATTGTAGCCTGTAGAGTGAGCACGAGTTGCACAATATAGCTAATAGAGAAAAACGTCAAGTCAGACACGATATTTCGGTGAAAAATTATCCGATCATCACGAAAATCAATAGGGATCATCTTCATAACAACATTGACATACAAAATAAAAATCAAAAGAATCCATAAAGAACTGTAGCCTGTAGAGTGAGCACGAGCCAAATGTGAATGGACGGAAGGACGGACCGACGGGGTGATTACAATATACGCCCATCTTACATGTGGGCGTATAAAAAGAAAATTCTACTTCTATCACCGAAGTTTTGAGTGATAGCTGATATTGTTTTCACGGTGAGGGGTAAGGCTGCATACATACTTATCTGTTAACCCACATCCTTGAAGATTTTCGAATTACACAGTGCATTATTACCTTGTGCTTCTGGTTATTCTTTGTGACTGCTGCAGATAAGAATCTGAAGAAATAGACTCATTAGATGACAGACTACTGTTACTAAAACTAAATACATTCTTGTGCTTCTCATCATCTGAGCTCCACCCTTGCCCTTCTACTGCTACCACCCTCATACGATGTCTTCCATAAGTTTTAATAGTTTCTTTTCTCTTCATTTTAATAAAGCTGTAACACCAATCAAACAACATTTTTAAGGGGGGTTCAAGTCAACCATGCAACTGGCAGATCAACATAATTTGATCAACATTATAAACTATTATTCTGTTAAAATTCGCCTTTTTATGTTTATTTTATCCATCATTGCAACATCAAACCCTCTTCACTATATTGAAGCTGGTACACCAAAGCACATAAAATAATCAAAAAATTCAATTTACTGACAAGAGATTTACTTCCATGCTAGTTGATCAAACCTATCTATTATGCTATATCAACAAATTCACTAAGAACAAGATCACAATGCCACCATCTACGATATATGGATAAACATTAAATTTTACAAACTTAAAGAGTAGTTGAGCAAATAAATTTATTTCATAGTGTTTCATGATTTGTGAGAACAGTACTAAGAGTTACAAATAGATGTAGGCTAATGACCCTATATGTATCCAACCATGGACCTGTATCTGGGTCCAAGGCCATGAGTTACTGGATGTTAATCACTAAGAAAGCTCATAATCTCAACAATGACAACATAACAGCCATTCAAATAGCTGATGGCTTTTGGGAAATTGGCGGAAATGAAATGAATGGAGTTTAACATTCTATTTTTCGGCTAATGAAGACAAATCTCCATAAAGAGTTTAATGTGGATATGATGTACTATAGGCCTACATGTACAGTCAAGTAACCTAATTTCGTGCTAACCTATTTTTCGTGCATTTCCGGAAATGATTAATAATTTACATGTGCGACCTCCGCATTAGCTTGTTTTGATAAACATTGGTTTTCTGTACAATGTCAGCTAGTAGAATGAATCCAGTAGTTTCAAGCAAGGTAAAATGTATTAATGTATACTTTGACAAATACAAAATGGTGGATTTCAGTTATTACCAAACATCACCATTTTTTATCGGCTGAATTTCCTTATAATCCCAAGCTGTAATCGGAATTCCAAGTGTCGTCTGCTAGAATGTAGTCCAACGAATGAAGTCACGTGATCAACTAGCGGATTCAGTGTCAGCAGAAAATTTCTATGGAACACATAGCGGACCATATTCTTGTTGTTTCAATAAATCACGCTACGTATCTTATTTTGTCAGTCACTATTTTTTTTTTGAAATCGTGTTTCTTTGAAGGAATTGTCACTAGTTCTAATGAATTGATATTAACGATAAATACTAAGAGAAGTTAACTATACCACCCGGTATCCATACGTGTTTTTCTAGACTTATTTATAGATCAAACATTGTACACGAAAATAGGTGACGTTACCGAGTTGGTTGCTCATGAAATATGGGTCAAAGTGAAGGATTCATAGAGAATATCGAAATAAACCAATTTCAATTATTTTGTAGAATATCTGAGGAAACATCTAAGACATAAAAAAAAAATTCGTTTTTTTAACTTTGACGAAATTCGGTGTTGAATTCTTATATCCACGAAAATAGGTTACACCGCTGTAAAACTAAAAGTAACATGCAATTTCACTTGGCCATTTCACTTTCAGGACTGTCGTCTGTCAGTAGGTAGGCCTAAGCGGGGTGTACTTGTGGTCTTTTTTCAGAATATTCTTGACATTACCGTCTGAGAGATAGGGGTCACTTTTCACAGGTTCTTCAGATTATGGTGCAGATCTTGTTTAGGACACTTTATAACATTTTTAAATTTGATCATAATAAATTTTGTAAAATCCAATATGGCGCCATTTTAAAACAATTGTGTCGTTTAGTTTGATTGGCTGAGTCACAGCATGATTTTACAAAACTTATTTTGATTGGGTATCCTCGTTAAACGGAAGTAGTCTTGATTGTTGGGGTTTGTTTTGATTTCTGTAGCTCATTGCATAATTGAACATTGACGGGTCTTGAAGGAACAATTGGAACTATTCTATGCATTTATGATTCGACTACAGCTATGAATAGAGCATAAACTATTTTATAAATTATTTTATGAGTTTTTGAAACAGATTATTCCTTGGGTATATTCTCGCATCTTTTGTTACCGGCACTACTCTTTCTCAAGTTTCTGCAAAAAATTAACAGTAGCCTACAGGCCTAGTCTTTGAATTGAGTTTTTTTACTCTGATTTCATAATATCAAAAATAAAATAACTTTATGCCATTAGTCTTAGAATGTCTTCGAGTCCATAGAAATTTAAGGTTCAGTGATTTTAAATTTTATAAAGACACACTTACTCACAGAAAATTCAACAGAGTACTGTCAATCAACAGACTACACTAAGCTCAGAACATGCTCAATTTCTATATTTATTTTAGTTATGGCTATACCAGTAGCATTAATACAAGGTGCAAGTAGAGGAATTGGTTTGCAGTTTTGTAAGACTTTATTAACAGGACCTAAAAATAATGTTGTCATAGCTACTTGCAGGAATCCAAGTTCAGCACAAAATTTACAGATATTGAAAGATGAACATCCAAAATCACTTCACATCTTTCCTATAGATGTAACAAATGAATCTCAAATACAACAGACTGCCTCAGATATAAGCTTGCAGTTTAAAAACTTAGACTTGTTGATTAACTGTGCTGCTATTCTACATCCTAGTGGTAAAGGAGAGACAAGTTTGAGAGATGTTTCGAGTCAGGTAAGCATAGAGCTGTATACATTTATCCCAGGATTGACATTTTACAGTGATTGATGAATTGATTATATTTCAATTTGAAAGTTCTAATTAGATTTGACAATGCAGCAAAATTTGAATAGTAGCTTTAGCTTGAATAAATCATTGCTTCTCTGATATGTGTCCATAATGACATATGCAGTGAAGATTTTCAGTCTTATTCTTGCATGCTAGAGTTTTATAGGTCATGTTTCATGTTTTAAGTTTTTATCGATAAATTAAAGGGAATTGCAATAAAGAACCAACTTTGCTCTCTTAGTTATTATCTATTTATTTCAGGGTGTGTTAGAAACTTTGTCTATTAATACAGTTGGTCCTTTGTTGATGGCTAAATACTTCTCACCATTGCTATTGAAAGGATGCGGAGGGTTTGGTAAGGCTACAGAAAATCAACAACATAAAGCTGTATTAGTGAATATGTCAGCTAAAGTTGGTTCAATAACAGATAATGGTATGTTATATGCAAGCTCCCCTTTTATAAGATATACTAAAATGCTATTACTTTATGGGAATGTTAACAGCTACATTAACTACTATCTAGCAAAAATATTTGTGCACTTCCATAGAAGATTCAATCAGGTGAAATAACGACCAATTTTAGCTCTTAGATATGTTTAAATTTCAGGGTTAGGTGGCTGGTACAGTTACAGAATGGCTAAAGCTGCCTTAAACATGGCAACCAAAAATCTCAGTATTGAGTTAGGACGTGGTAAAAATAAAGTGATCTGTGTATCGTTACACCCAGGAACTGTGGACACAGACCTGTCTAAACCCTATCATAAAAATGTGCCAAAATTATTTACACCAGAGTATTCAGTAGATTGCTTGTTAAAAGTTATAGAAAGTCTGGAGATAGATGATAGTGGTAAATTTTTCACCTATGATAGGACACAAATGCAATACTGATAACAATACTAATGTGATTATAAGTGATACCTTAACCGTATAGTTGTGAAGTTTGTATCTGTTTGCTGTCTCTATCAGACTTAATATATATATTTATTGTGTAAAAATAACTGCCTTAATTATGGAAATTGCCAAATAATTTTTAAGTAAAAATACAAGGTATGAATTATAAAAGATAGATACATAAATTTTATTGAACTGATTTTATTTATTTCATCTTTGTTCGAAACATCAGCAGAAACAGTTTACTTTGTTCTTAGGTTTATAGAGAGTTAAATAGTATTACTGTGTTACACATAATGTACTCTACCTTACAACATAGTAGACTATTCTAACTCAAGTTTTGAAATTTGGTGAATATGCATAAAATTATCAATATGACAGAAAAACAAACAAAGATAAAAAAAAAAAACCTCAAGGCATGAACTTAATAGTGAATTAATTTAATGACAATTTTATTAATAAAAATATAAACAATTAATAAACCTTACAAATTAAAAAATTAAATTTCCCAAAGGTTTCTAAAGTAAGTCTCAATTTAAATAAAAATATCAATGTAGAGATGAATGCTAATTTCATTCACACATTTAATGAAGACTATATTGGGGTAAATAAACATATATTTCTCAAAATAAAATAGACAATTGTGAGATCTCATTGTCAATAAATTAAATATTATTTTGTATTCTGTATTTGTAAAAGGGGTTGTAAAAAGGTTTGGGGACACTGATAGCACCATTTCAATTCTCATATGTCTGTGGTTCTTTCAATTTCACTTAAAGGTGTTTGATGACATCACATTCAAAAAGGTCCTTATAAATTAGCCTTTTTGTGAAAGTGACATCATACAAGGCTTATTAAGGAATTGCCAGAACCAAGAAATTAAATATGGCAATGGTGCAAATTGATGATATCAGTGTCCCTGATAAACATAAACAATTTACAAAACCTCTTTTCCATGCATTTTAGTTACTTGACAAGAATTTATTACATTAATTTCGGACCTGATATTGGCGTTCATTTGAAATTTCCATGATCAACCATGGACATATATGTTATATTAAAAGCAAGTTTTTTTCTAATGAATTGCATAACATGATTTAAATCTGTAAATGTCCTTAATTACATATTTGAAATCTTCATAAAACTCAGTAACAACATTTTTAGGTTCTGTTTTAATATTTTTATATCACAATACAATTGATGTATTGAGCATTATTTTAACAGTGAAACTATTTTGTACTTATATAGTATATACAACAAATACATGTAAATAATAATACACGTATAACGATACATGATACAGCTAATACTATATATCTAATACTACATATACAAACAATTTCATTATTTGTATACCTCTACAAAAAACATTAAGTCTTTCAGACCATAAAAGATTTTTCACAGGAGAGAAATAATATTGAAAGAAATGAAGTTTTACTTCCTACAATGGGGAGAAAAAGATGCAGTAATAGCAAATGTGTCTTGTATAAAATATCTAAAGCAAAAAGTGAGAAGAGATTCCTTTAAAAGGATATCCCAGGTGTTAATTGAGCTTTTTACACTGGTATATATATCTAATATGAACTCAAAAGGTCCTGTATATATTAAGAAATATAATATTTCCATTTATCAACTGTAAAACTATCTGTATGATACAAACAGGCTAACTGTTTTTAAGGAAAGTCAAGATATTTCACACACAGTGAATATTGTCCTGGAATATGTCGAACTATTTAACTAAAGTCTGTCAAAGTTTGAAAGTGACATGTAAATCTGAAATTCTTTTGACAACGAAAAGCACTCCTCATTTTGCAAATAAACTACGTTAAATTTACTCTATGATGGAATCTTATTATGTAAATTAAATGAAATGATAAGGGGAATCAAGTACACGATTCTATGGCACATTTTAGAAATTAATTGGTCGTAACATATCTTTATAGTCTAAATGAACATACAAAGCCTAATATTTTCTTTATCAGATATATTATTAATTCTAACTAGTTTCACATTATCACTTTGACCTGCATTAAACAATCTATAGATTTCATAATTCACTTGGTCATCCATTGCAAACTTGACTTCTTCCATGGATATCTCAAACATTCTTTTAGAACTGGACCGTGTACTCTTCACCTCGCTGTAAAGCTTGATTAATTCCTTACTATCATTATGATAAGTGATAATGAAATCATATGGTTTTCCTGATTCCTGTTCTTCATTCACCCATTCTACAGATTGGATTCTTGAGTCTTCATTCTTCTGTTTTAATAAATAATCATAAACAAGTTGTTCTCCCCATTTGCCAACTTCTGATAAATCTGATTCTGATTCTTCAGGGAAGTCAATTGGTAATGGTGTTTCACTACTAGATGGTAAATCATCATATGGTATAACTGCAAAACTATCCTGCCATCTTGGTGCATCTAAAAGATTAAAACATCCAATCTTATGACACTTTCTTTTGACATTTTGATAAATTCTTTTAGGTTTTTTTCCATCCCCCAGTGAGTTAAATGCTCGCTTTCGAATATCCAATATGGAGATCCAAGTTTCAAGGACTAGAAATGCCCAAATAATTTCAGAGATACACTTTGCAGTGCAAGGGTGTAATAAATAAAAACCCATGGTTTTGTGTGCAACAGGCCTCCAGAAAGATAAAGTGATAAGGTACTGACAGCAAAATTTTCCCAATCTCATGCTTCATTGTGTTATAAGCTGTAACAAAATAAGATATAACACAGAAGAAACAATTATTCACAGTACATTTAAAAGAAAACTAACCTAAATTAAAAGGTCTCTTATGATTTGGATCAGTAGATTTATTTTGTGAAGGAGATCTATGTTGTCTGCTGTGAGGAGTACTATTATTGGTATTAGTATTAGTATCTGTTGGTAGGGGAGGTGGACTAGAGACACGTCTCTTACTTTCATTACCAATAGTACCACCATTATCATCCATCTTTCTTTTCCCTGTAAAATATCATTCAGGTAACATTCAACACCAATTAATGTGCTATAATTAAACCGTTCACATGTCACAAAACCACTCATCAAAATATGTGAAAGTCTAACTCATCATGAATCCCATCAATATACACAAGCATAGGCTACTAAGTTCTAATCCAATCAGAACTGTAGTTTTTATCAAGTGTAATTCAATAAATGTGAACGGATCGACAGGGAAAACAAAAAATAAGAAAAATGATGAAATTTGTTAAAATTGAATTAAATTATCAAAATAAATATTGTGAGCATGAGTTAAGCTGTGTAAATCAAAAGATTCTGAGGTAATAAACCCCATATGAGAAGTGATCATGTCACAGACAAATATAAAAGTAGAATATATATATTAGAATTACAACAGCAAGAGTACAATAATTAATTTTAAAAAAAGATCACAACATTGTTGAATGATATAGGACTTAAATCTAATCTGAAACTTGGTTTTCCTGCAAAGGATTCATTAAATTTGTCCATTACAGATCATTATTAAATACCAATGGACAATTGGATGACTTCATCAAATAAGTAATATCTACATGTTCAAGTTTCTTCACAGCTAAACCCCATGCATAATTTTAAAAGAGTGATACACTGAGCTGAATATGATTCTATTGGCTTAAAAAGCAAATACTAAGATCCATTTCTCCTTACCAGAATTTGTAGAATTTTTAACTTCATTATTAAGAACATGCTTAAAGAAAATATAGTTCTAATCCTTAATTAGGGTTCATCCTGGCTTGAATTTGGATCAGTAATGAAATAAAGAAAATGCATTCCTCTAAGTTGTACAAGAAAACTATATGTTCACTACAAGACACTTTGATAATACGTATTACTGGTTAAAAAAAATGCATGAAATAATAGAAAGCAAGCAAAAGCAAGACACATACGACTGTCACCTCCTGTATCTTCAGTAGAACTAGCTGCTGGAGTAGAACCTGTAGTAGGATTTCTGACTGGTTCCTCTTGGCTCTCAGGTCTTGTGTTAGCCTTCTTATCTGAAATTTCTTGAGATGATCCAACAGAATTTGGACGATGTTCTTGAGTTCCATGACTACTTGTAGATGATACCCTTTGTACTGCTGGCCTTTCAGTCATCATCTCATCTGTTCTGTCTTTAGTTGAGGTCCTTGAACTTTCAGCTGGTGGAGCATCGACCACTTTGATATTGGATGGTAAGAAATTAGGCCTTTCTTTAGGTACATGACTTTCTGGTTTGGGCGGTGGCCATAAAGTAGCCCCTAATGGTTTAAAGGTAACATTGGTATCTGTAATTAACAAAAAAGATAGACAATGAGAAACAGTTCAACATTTCAAAGTCTCAAATCTAAAAACCATTACAGGGAGTTGATCTTTGCAGGTACACATAGTCAAATTGGACAAACATTCAAATTTATCATCAATGTTCATGATTTTTGGGGACCTAAGAAAAGGTTCAGAGGATTTAAACCTATTAAAACCTAAATTATAACTCCATTATAATAAGAACTGTGTCATGTCACCAGTCAGGACATGATCACCATGATGCCACTCCAGGAATGGGCTTGTCAACCTGACACCCCTATCTGAGTAGTATTTTTTATCTTGTATCTGTATATTTATTCCGTATCCACGACCCTAGTTTTAATTTGAATGATTTAAAAACTTACCTCTCTTCTTGCCGTCATCAGGAGCTTGTGGAGGCCAAGATCTTATTGTTTTCTCCTTACTATTTCCATTTCCACCATCAGCATTCAATTCTGGTACAGCTAAAAGTAAATGTTAAATTTCATGTGTCATGTTATACATAAAGGATTTCATGAAGTCATCTTAAAGGGATTGCAGAAAGGTTTTTTTATAGATTTTTTATGTGTATCAGGGAAACTGATAACAATTCCAATTTTCAGTCGTCCGTGATTCTTACAATTCCACTAAAACTAAGCATTTAAATACATTACTATAAAGCTTCATATAATTACTAATGGCATGATGTCTGATTGAAGATTTCATAA